AGAAAGCCAGCTCCAAGTGCAGCGATCAGGGACCATCCACAAGGCCCACCTCCCCGTCTTCTGCAGCCCATATGTTCCTGCCCCAGTGCCCATTTCCCCAGGGCTGAGCCCAGCTCTGGCCCTTCCCAGGACCGTCTTCACACTAGCCTGTTCTGCTAAAACCCCAGGGTGTCGGCTCTCGACTCCCGTTGCTGGCTCCCAGAAATGGCTCCAACCAAGACCTCCCTCCAGGCACCTGTGGTCCCGGGGCTTCCCCACCTGCTGCTCATGGGGTCCCCCACTCCCAAGCCCAAGGGCACCCTCATAACCATCACCCCTCACATCCAGTCTCCCCCTGGCGCACTGCCTGACCCCCCGGAGGTGGGCTCCCACCCATCCACCCCAGATGCAACCCGTGGTGGGTTCCCGCCCATTCTGGCCCCCTAAACAGCAGTTCCTCCTGCCCACCCATGGGCCCTGCGGGGCTGGGGCACCAGCTGCCACAACGCACCCTGCACTGTTCTCCACCTGGTCCCAGAGACCTGCCCCTGGCACCCCTCCTGCAAAACCTCTGCAAGAACCGCCAGCCCAAGGGGGACGCTTTCTCCTGGGCCTGCACTTGAGCCCAGCCCCCTCTGTAGCCCCGGAGCCCACGGGCCCCTCTCCCCGTGTGCATGCGGTCTGCCCCCGAGGGCCCATGCTTTTGGAGGGCTTCATGCCCCCGTAGAGCTTTCCTGGCAGCTTGGATGGTAAAGAATCCGCCTGCAACTCAGGAGACCCGGGTTCAATCCCTGGGTCGGGAAGGTCCCCTGGAGAAGGGCATCGCAACCCACTCCAGTCTTCTTGCCTGGAGAATCCCACGGACAGAGGAGCCTGGCGGGCTACAGTCCACGGGGTCGCAGAGCTGGACACGACTGAGTGACCAACACCATGCTTTTCCAGCGGCCGTGACTTCTCCCTGAACTCCCTCCCTCCCGCCTGCCTTGTCCACGTGGAGGACTCCTCCGTATCCTTTAAAGCCCTGCTCCAGGGTCCCTCCTCTTTGCCCCAGAGGTGTCCGGACTCCTCCGAGAAGAAGCTGCTCCCACCTCTGAGCCCTCATGAGCCCGCTGAGCAGCTGCGTCTCCTGACAGTTCCATCCCAAACCATCATTTTTGCTCCTCTACCCGCCTCTCTCACTAGACTGGGCACCCTGAGGGCAAAAAGAGTGCTGAGCTCATCCCCTCACTGCCCAAAAGGTGGGAAAGAGACGACACAAAGCCACAAAGATCCCAGCACCATCCAGAGATTCCAACCCACCGCTTCGGATGCCCCTCTCCCTCCCAAAGACCTTGATTTCAAACCCAAAGTGTGAGGGTGTAAACATTAACATTCTACAGCCCCAACCTCAACAGTCTGTGATTTCAACCCCAAAATATGGTGACCTGGTGCTGGGAAAAATTGAAGGCAAGAGGAGCAGGGGATGACAGAGGATGAGACGGCTGGATGGCATCACCAACTTGATGGACATGAGTTTGAATAAACTCCGGGAGATGGTGAAGGACAGGGAGGCCTGGCGTGCTGCGGTCTCTGGGGTCGCAGAGATTTGGACACGACTTGGGAACTGGACAGCAACAAAATCCCAATAGTAACTCTGATCAGAACATCACATCTCCAGAGGATCTGCTGGCTCTGTCTTCTAACCTGCCCCCTCTGATTCGACACTGCTGACCACACAATTACAGGAGACAGCGGGACACGGCCTGCAGAGGTGCTGCCCCCCCCCCTGCCCCCTGAAGCCTCTCGGACACATCTGCAGGTGGAAGCTTGGCTCAGCGCCCCCCGGACCAAGCTGGGGACAGGGTGCTCCCCATGCGTTCTTCCTCATCAGTCAGCTGGGTCGGGGGCGCCCCTGCAGCCCCCGGCGCCACCCCTCGTGGGGTCTGCCACCGCCCCGGCCCCCGGGACGCACACCCCGTCCCCCTCCCCCCTTTTCTCTTGCACTGCACCGGCTGCCAGCAAGCCCAGAGCCCTGTGGTCAGGTTGAGTCTTGTCTCCTCTCAGCAGGGGGAGGGAGCCGGTGATAAACACATCTGTGCTTCCTTCCAAGACGCTTAGCAGGACTTCCAGCTCACCAAGACCTCCAGCTCCACTGCACCTGGGGCCCACGGAAGCCTGGGGTGGGCACAGTTTCTGGCACGGGGTCCCATGCCTGTGCGGTCCTGGGGGGTCCCCCAACTGTGCCTCCGCCAGGCCCCAGAACAAACGGAGGCTCATTGTGCCGTTGGACAGATGAGGAGAGCGAGGCCCCAGAGGGGTGGACTCCAGGCTGATATATACTGAGTCTCGGCTGCCCGGGGTGAGGCCCTGCTCTGGCTGCTGGGATCTGGGTCCGGCGCTTGTGGTGCCTCGGTTCTGGGGTGAGGTGTGGGCAGGGAGACCGCCTGCCGGCCGTGTTCTGCGCAAGGGACCTAGCCACTGCCCCAGGTAGCCGAAGGCCAGTCAGGACCCGCTCCAGGCCTCTGCTTGCACCACCGAACCATAAAGCGGCTGCACTGGTGGTTAATCAGGGTACCCTGGGGAGTCCCAGGTTCCACCTCTTGGCTCTGGGAAATACAGCGTCTGGCTGAACGGCCATCCAGGAAGCCACCCTCGAGTGTCCCCTCAAACCAGAGTGGAGCTGGGTGGTGGTGGGGGGGGGGAATGTGGGGGTGCAGGGGGCACCCCTGAGCTGGGACAACCGTTCCTGCTCAGAAGCGTCAAGTCAGGCCCAACCCATACTCTGCCGAGACGCCCAGATCCCACTCCCGACCCCAGCCAAGACCTTGTCTCTGGGATTCCATCCTCCCCTGCTCCATAACCATCAGGGGCTCCCCAGGGGCCGTCGGGGACCCACCCCTTCACACCACAGGGACACACAGCGCCTCTGTCCACCAGGCCCTGGGGTACAGCTGCGAACGTAACACACGAGGTCTCTGTCCTCATCAAGCCTGGGAGCTGGGAGGGGAGGAGGCCCTGGAACAAGGCACCGCGCCGGAAACAGCTGGGAACGGGCTGAAAGGGGGCACAGCGGAGCTGGCCAGCAAGGGCGGAGCAGCTCCGGGAGGAAACCCACCACTCTCAGCTCCCCGGCCTGCAAGGCGACCACGCACCCTCCCCGCCGCTGTTACCCGCTCAGGGACCCAGTGACTAGCCAGACTGGGCCCCTGAGCAGAACCCAAGCCCCTCCTCTGGGCCTTTGACCATGAGCTCTCCACACGAGACCCGGCTTGCCTCCATCTCTCTCCTTTGCTGAGCCCAGCCTCACTCGCTTCCTGGGGTCTACCTGCTCCAGGGAGCCCCCGAAGTTGATCTCACGACGTCGGACAGCTCCCGTCCGCCGCCTCACCCCAGAGCCACTCTGAAGAGTACGCATGGCACATCTCGCCTGCTGGAGCTGGCGGCTCAGGGAACCGTCTCCCCCTGCCTTCCGCCAGGCAAGGCGCGCTCTCCTTTCACCCTCACCCTGGCTGGACCAGGTAGCCACATGGGAGGAAACGGGGGTGGAGGGAAGCCACTTTGCCTTCTCCTGTCCACCCCCCTAGGGATGAGAGCTTCAAGGTTAGGAGGGAGCCCGTGACCTGTGACCTCAGTCCTAAGAAGTGCTCCGACCGTAGCAAGTGGGAGGGACAGACTGCCCCAGGCAGGTGCTCCCGGCATAGGGCTGGACCCGCAGGGCCTTCAGTCTAATCCCCCCACCCCACCAGCATCACCAGGGACAGACCAGCCGAGCGCCTGCCCTTGTGACTCACCATGGCCAGCCGGGAGGCTCAGACACAGCGGACGTGGCCGAAGAATGCAGCGGGAGGGACAGACCGCCACTGGTACCTCTTCCTTATCCACCTGCAGGGAGCCCGGCTCCCCTCTGAGACGGGCGGGCCACCTCCAACATCAGTACCAGACAGATCCCTCCTACGCCACACATACGCACCATCTGCAGTCACACCCACCCCGTGCTGAGGGCCAGCCGCATTGCCAGGGCCTGGGAAGGGCTCCCCTGCCCCCTCCCCGCCCCTCCTTGCCCTGGACCGAGGACACTCCCGCCAGCTCTGCTTCCTTCCCAGGAGGAAGAGAGTGGCAAGGGCCATGATCAGAACCCAGGGGCCCACTGCCAGCCCACGCTGTGCGGAGGACGCCAGCCCGCCAGCCAGACCCCAGGCTTCACATTCTGGCTTTGACCCTGAAGAGCCCGTCAGTCAACCCCTGTGTGCCTCAATCTCCTCATCTGCAAAATGGGGTAACAGCACTGCCATTCACAGGGACGCCGTGAGGAGGGAGAGAGAAGACCGCTGGCCCCTAGACATGCCCGAGGAAACCAAGGCAAGCCAAACAGGCAGCTCCAGGCCCCCTCGCCAGGACATGTGTTTGAGCCCCTGGAGTAACCTTCTTTGTCTTTGCCCTCTTGCACATTTTTCAAGAGTCATTGGTAACGACCAGTTTTAAAAACCAACAGGGAAAAAATGAAGTGCTTGTGCATGAAAATCTGAGTCTAAAACCAGAGGAGGTGGCTACCCTGGGACACCGCAGACTGTCTTCCAAGCTGAGCCCAGACTCTCGGAGGACGTGAGGAGGCAGTGAAGAGGGAGTGGTCACCTCCATCACTGTGAGCTCCAGATCTTGGTTAAGCGGACCAAGGATTCGTTACCAGCCCCGGCAACTACCCCATGGAGATGACTTCTACTGAACTCACCTTGACTCCTGAACCGCCCCCACCCCACAATCTGAGTTTTTACAGCTGATTTTGTGGATCCAGGATGAGAGTCCATATCCGCCCCTCGTCCCATCTTGCTGAGTTACAGTGTTCTAACAGGGACACAATTACTCAGCCTTGCCGTTCACTGATAAGCGTCATACCACGCAGAACCCCCGACCAGCAGCAAATCATCCATGGACTCCAGCCGAACGAGGCTGAGGGCAGAGCCCCGTGGCCCACCGCCCGACCCCCAGCCCCAGCCGTTAACAAAGAAGCCAGAGCCGCCCGGCTCCCCTCCCTGGCTGCCTACCTTTCGGCCTGCCTCGTTATTGTGTAAGTTCATGAGAGTCCGGGCATTCTGCTTGATCTCCCGGGCATCCACAAAGACCTTGGCGAAGCCGATGCCGTAGCGGATGTCGGCAGAGCATCCGCCCCACTTCCAGCCCTCGTCCCGGTGGTACTGGCCCTGCTTCTCCTTGTCGCAGCCACAGTCGCTCAGGTTGCCCTGGGTGCAGGCCGCCGTGATGGCGTGGGCCACGCCCGCGGCGATGATGGCGTAGGTGAAGGCGGCCTCCCGGCTCCCTGCGGGGACAAGAGCGGAAACACTGGGCTCGGGTCTGGGCGTCCGGGGTGAGGAGGGAGGCTGAGCTCTGCTGGGGTCCGCCAAAACCGACACAGCGCCCGTCACTCGCCCCCAGGGACCCCCATCACGTGCACCCCCATTCAGTCCCCAGTCACTGAACGCCCTCGGGAGCGGGTGGGGGCAGTGGAGGAGGGGGGCACCTGCTTGCCTGGCCCCTGTGACGTCAGAGGAGGGACCCCCACCATACCGATTACCACCCACTCTCCACGCTGACGTGGCTGCGTGCACAGCGTGCACACACGCACACGCATGCACACACACACAGAGGACCTGGTGACCGTCAAGCAGCACTTTGAGCACCCACAGTGCTCAAAGGCTCTGGAGCCACAGGCTTGGGCTGAAACCCCAGAACATCAGTCTCTGCTCTGTTACTTTCAGCCACCGCCACCCCTTCCCTGGGTCTCGGCCTCCCCACCGTAAAGTGGGGACCCAGCCACAGTGCCTTTCTCGCGGGGACCCAAGGGAATAAGAGATCAGGGTTTATTACCAGTGTCTGGTGGTGGAAAACACCTGCTACAAGATTGATTCAAGCCTGTGAAAGTGAATGGAGAGTGATGACTCGATGCCACGCTGAGCCTTCAGGTAACTGATAAAAGAACCTTCTGTAAAACGTGGTGTGCAAATTTATACTTACGCTTTAATACATATTTTATTGTTATTTTTTGAACAATAATATCTAAATAGAACTCTACCAAATATAATAAAAGCAACTTTTCAGTCAATAAGTAAGTAATCTAAGGATTCAAAAAAGAGAGAGAAAGAGAGAGATTAGCATCTGTCTGCAGCTGTGGGCACCCACCTGCCCACGGCACTCCTGAGTCTTGCTCCCGCTGCGCCCGGGTCACTTGTGGTCCAGAGGTCCAGCCCACGACACTGTGAGCATGGGCAGACAAGGCTGGAACCTGCGTCCTCAGCCTCCATCTGACGTGGACATCAGAGCTGGGGGAGGGGAGAGGGGCCGCCCGCAGGGACGGGAGGACGGGCCGGCCTCGGGAAGCGGCGTCCTGGGGACCCCATTCACAGTGGCATCGAGTCCTCACTCTCCGTTCACTTTCACAGGCTTGAATCAATCTTGGAGCAGGTGTGATCCACCATCAGACACTGGTCTAAACTCTGACCTCTTATTCCCTGGGGTCCCCACGAGGAAGGCACTGTGGCAGGGTCCCCACCTAACAGGGGGGAGGCCGAGACCCAGCGCTGAGGGGCCGCTTCCCCACATGCTTTCCCAGCTACGTGGAGAAGGGGCCTGGCCGGGAGGGCAGCTGGAGGCCCCGTGGAAGGAGGTACATGGGCCCAGCAGGAGGGCACTGGGGTGGTCAGCGGGGCGCGAGGGTCCTGCGTAGCTGGGGGGGCAGGAGACAGAACCCAGTGGGGGAGCACTCGGGCTGGGGACTCAGCCTCCCGGCCCCTCTGGGTCTGAGAGCAGCACCGACTTCCCCGGGAAGGAGAGGAACCCAGGCCCCGCGTGAGGTGTGGGCGCTCAGAGCCAGGATGGGTGGGGGTCAGGGGAGCCCCCTGGAGGAAGAGGCCCTGGGGGAGGAGAAGCATTTCAGGAACCGGGGTGGGGATGATGGTAGCTGAAGTGGGGGCCGGGGAGGTGGAGGAGGCAGCGACCCCCAAGATGCTTCAAGCCTCAGGTCACTGTCACCTGACTCAGGGAGACCTTTTCTCACGCCCCCCACCCAGGCTGCCAGGACATGAGCACCCTGCCCCCCAGCCACCTTCCCCCGCTCCCCCAACCCTGCAGATACGCAGGCCTGTCCACCTGCCAGACCCATTGCTTCACCATGCCATGGCCGGACCCTGGCATTCCACGACAGCCCTGCTCACACAGGGGCTCTGAGCCCGAGCGCCCGAGTCCAAACCCCAGCTTGGCCACGGAGCACCCGCGATGCGAACAAGCTCCCCCTCATCCTGAGGCTCAAGCTCCAGCTCACACTACTGAGCATCAGACCCAGAAGGAAGCGGCACACGGGAGCAGACAGACGACAGTGAGGTCAGAGCCGCACAGACAGCAGAGAATCGCCAGGGAGGGAACACACAGCGTAAGACGGGGACGAAAGCCCCGTTCCGCCACTTTCTAGCTGTGCGGCCTCAGCCGGGCCACCCAACTGCTCTGTGCTCCAGTGCCTCCGCTACAAGACAGAAGGACCGCCCACTCTGTCAGGGAGGGTGAGAGGACTTGCTAGAATTAACAAAGAATTTAGCAAAGAGTCTGGCATGAGGAGTGTGTTAGTCGCATTTGACTCTTTTCGACCCCATGGACTGTAGCCCGCCAGACTCCTCTGTCCATGGGATTCTGCAGGCAAGAATACTGCAGTGGTTTCCATTTCCTTCTCCAGGGGATCTTCCCAACCCTGGGATCAAACCCAGCCCTCCTGCATTGCAGGCCGACCCTTTACCATCTGAGCCACCAGGAAAGCCCCGGGTGAGAAAGTGACCCCGGGTATCAGACTGATTACAATTCCTACTGATGACAGTAGTTCACAGCCCCTTAGGAGAAAGCTGTGAGGTAAGGAGGAGTCTTCAGTTGTTGAAGAAACCGGGGCGAGAGAAAAGTCTGGCTCTCTCAGGCCACCCAACTGGTGGGGTGGCAGCGATGAGCTGTGCAGGCCGGGAACTGTCCCCAGTGACCCAATGACCGTAAAGGGCAGAGGCCCAGCTGGCGGCCTCGGCAGGTGATCGGACACTGTGTCTCGTTTATTGGCCCCAGAGCAGAGCAGCAAATTGAGGGGGCGGGTGGGAGAGGGGCCTGGCCTGCCACTGAGACTTGCCCAGCCCCCCAGGTTCCTCCCTGGGGTGGGGCGGGGGGCTGGGGCTGGGGACAGGGGGCGGGGCTGTACCGCTCAGTGGGCGGGGCCGGGGACTGGGGGCGGGGCTCTCCCACTCAGGGTCCCCGGGCCTCTGAGGCTCTGCAACACGTGGCAACCCAGAAGCTCAGGGAGGACACCTACCCAAACCCAACAGCGATGCGGATGGCTTCCGTTCCCACCGGGATCCCCCCAGCATATCCCGGATGGGTGGGAGAAGGGCGACTACCCCAGCACACACACAGCTCCCCTGAGTTCAAGGTCACGCTCTGACCAAGGTGACGTCTATCACGGGCCATGGCCTTCCCCCCACTCCCCGCCCCCAAGCTGGGCCTCGCCTCTGCAGCCATGGCCCCCAGGAAACAAAGGGACCATCACTCTTAGCTTCCAAGCTCCCAGGACCCAGGTACTGGCTGCTCAAGTGCAGATGTGGAAGGGCCGCTGCTGATTCCTGCCATTGACCCTGACCTACACCTTGCCCCCCAGTGTGAGACTAGCACTGCCCAGTCCCCCTACTTCCCCCTCCTCACTGACCACCAGGGAGGCTGCCCTGGGCAGGGGGCTGGCGTGCAACTCCTGTCAAGCCTATAACCTGTCGAGGCCTCTATTGCTCCCTCTCTGAAATGGGTGTAACAGCATCCATGAGTCATGGGCTGGCGCAGGGCTGACTCACTGCGCCCGGCATGGGGTGACTGTTCCGGAAACAGTTGGCACGGCCGCTGTGACTGTTATTAAAGATCTTTCTTAAAAGAATATGCGTATTTGGCTGTGCTGGGTTTCAGCTGAAGCACGCGGAAACTTTACCTGTGGCATGTGAGCTCTTAGTTCTCTGACCAGGGATAGAACCCGGGGCTCCTGGCACTGGAAGGGCAGAGTCTTAGCCACTGGACCACTAGGGCTGAAGGATACGGCTGCCCCATGTGGAGGCCAGTGTGTGGGAATGACCCAGCAGCCGGCTGCCCGGCCAGACTCAGGGTTACCTGCCTGTCTGGCTCCCACTGTTGACAGCCCCCACGACAGCGTGTGAGGGAGGGATGAATGAACAAGCAACTCCACCCTGCCGGAAGCTGGGTGACCCTGGGCAAGTCACTGAGCCTCTCTGAACCTCTCTGTCCGTATCTGTGAGTCTCACCCACCTGGCCCATGGCCAGCGCGTGAATAAGCGGGGGTGAGTATTATGATAATTGTAACAGATGGAATCCCAGGTCTCCCGGGAGGAAGGGAGAGAAACTTTCCCACCTTGGCCTTCTCCATCGCCCTCCTGCCATGTTAGATTTGTCTGCTGGCTGTTGCTCACACTGCACCGACCACTCCTGCTGTCTCTGAGCTTCACCCCCTGCAAGGCAGCGCTGTGTCCTATCCCGAGGGGCTGCCGTGGAATGGGTACTCAGTACGTCATCTGTTTAATGAATGAATGAAGGCAGGCTCCCAACAGTGGCCAAAAGCTGAGGAAGCTTCCTTGAGTGCTTATTAACGGCTTGACGCTTTGGGGAAGAGCTCTGCTCAGCTGTGGGTGGGGAACCCAGCTGACCGGGGTCCAGAGAGGCTCTGACCCGGCAGGTGCAGGGCAGGGATGGGCCACCCTGTTTGGCACAACGTCCCCATCCCCCCACTCAGGGCATCGGAACAGAGTCTGCCCGAGGCCTGGGGTTTGGGGGCTTTTGGGGATGCAGGGAGAGGAAGGAAAGGGACCTTGTTGAAGCACCTGCTCTGCTCCAGACCCACAATTGAGGCTGTTTCCCAACGGCCCTGCGGGTGGCCACCATTCTCCACAACGTTACCAAAGAGGAGACCGAGGCTCTGAGAAGCAAACCAGCCTGGACTGCGATTCCGGGCCCCGGCCGGTCAGCAGGGTCCTCCCCCAGTTCCAGCCCCCACCTCCCTTCCTGGCTCCACACTGCATGGGAAAGCCCATGGTTGAGAAAGATTCCTTTGGCATAAGGCATCGACCCCAATCAAAATGCCTTTATTTCTGGCATTCAGTGGTTATCGGTTAAAACATCAATAAGTCACTTACAAGACCCATTCAAACGGGACAGGATGCTGAGAACAGGGTTGACGGCAGAAAGAAGGTAGACAAGGATCCCCAAATTTTAAAACCTCAGACTCTCCGCATAAGAGGCCACCTT